ATGTCCCTCCTAAAATTATTCTAGTTTCTAAAATTTTCTTTAATTTTTCCTTATTTTACTCTTCCTCTCTTTAAATTCCTTTAATTTCCTTTAAAAAGTTAAAAAATTTATTCTTCAGGCTCTAATTCTTTTTAATTTCTTTCTAAAGTTATGCCATTTTCTTTTCTTTTTCTTCTTCTTCTACTACCTAAAATTCTTCTTCTTCTTCTTCTTTTATTTATTATTATTATTTTTTTTTTTTGCATTATGCCCCCCTAAATTGGTTTCGCCCCTGTTTAGGTTACCAGTTATCACAGAAGATGATCATATTCTGCGATAGAAGATATCCTGTGTATATATGAAGGATAGAGATGACTTCGTATGAATTGTGATTCTCATAAATAATGTGAATTTTAATTTACGTAAAGTAATCTCAATCTTTTCTTGTACACATGACATTGTGTAACACAAGTGTGAATCCAAGTCAAGATTATCACATATCAATCAATATATATTGCTAGTTTCAGTAAGTTTCATTTTCATTAGATGTGTTTAGTCTAGTACATGCACGTGTCACTAGTTAGGAAATAAGAAGGAAAGAGGACATAAAGTGATTGATTCTAATTACAAATTTGATGACCTCTTTCTTGCAGAATGGTGAATGGGACGAGTCTGCCTTCCAAGAAGCACTGAGACGAGCTGTTGGTGACTTGGCACAGTGACTAATCCCCCAATCTCGCCATCACCCATTACGTGTCAATGTGTCATACACATAGTTGAGAGAAATTACAATCTGCGGCGGCACCCCACTGTAGTTCATGGTGGTTTTCCCAATTTTACCATACGTCATACAACATGTGTTCGTTTGCCCAATTTTGATAGCATGTATATGCAAAAGCAATATTGTATACTTAGATACACATAAATAATGTTACCAAAAAAAAATGGTTGGTATTTTTGTGTGTGATCGGTTCCATTCAACAAAATTCTAGTATTAATTCCGAAGCGGCTCAATCTAATTTGGAGCTTTAGGTGAAAAATAAAAAATAATTTTTTCAACAATATAAATAAAATTAGTCACAATTCAAAAACAAAATATACAAATATATATACATACAAATTTATAATAACAAAAGTTAATAAAATTAAAACTAATTAAAAGAAATGAACCATTGAACCTAATTTAGAAAATACAAATTTAATACTTCTACAAATTTTTCAATAGAATAAAAATACGTTTATAATAACTGTAAATTTGTAATGAGAGTGGGAAGAGAATACTTATTGAAAAGAAAAAGATAAAACATTAAAAAAAAAAAAAAGAATATGAAAAGTTTTCGTCATTTTTTTAAACAACAACGTTAAATAGATATTTAATATTTTACTGTTAGTGTAACTTACCCAAAATTTGATTAAAATTTTGTATACTTAGATATGCAAAAGCAATATTGTATACTTAGATATACAGATAAATAATGTAAAAAAAAAAATGGTTGGTATTTTTGTGTGTTTTCGGTTCCATTCAACAAAACTCTTCTCAATATTATATAAAAATTAAGAGTGACAATTCTTTAATCGAAAATATAAAATATAAGAAAGTGAGAATTATATTTCAACCAATAAAAAATCAAATATTTTTGGTCGTAATAAAAATCGATCCGAACTTCTATACTCTTCATTGTGATTGAACACCATTATCCGCAATAGTATGCCATTGCATAATTAAGTACTTTATATTGTGTATGAATTCAATGTGCTGCAAACATAGATGTAGACTGACAAACGATTGATATATCACATATAGAAGAATTCAAAGAGGTCCAACGTCAGGAAAAAAAAAAAAACAAAACTTACTTTTCAAGTTTTATAATCACCGAAACAACGTAGTTTTCATAATTTAATGTATTATTAAATCCGAATGTGTTCTTTTAACGCATTTCTCCACGTCAACAAAGTAAGTTTAAATTTTTTAACTATTTGAATGATTACTAATTCTTGAATTCTCCATGAAAATCCAAGTGTTTGGAGACGACGGTTTTGACTAATATAGACTCATAAAAATTAATAATAATAATAATAAACATGAATATTTAATTACCTAACTAATATGTGAGATAAAGGGGCATAGTATCTTGAGGCCTAGTGTGTCCAAAAAGACTGATGCTAACTATTAATTTATTTCATATTTCGTGTTTAAACTACATTTTACCATACGAGGAGCCTTCATATATATATATATATATATATATATATTCAGACCAGTTAGGTTTATTTGTTTAAGTGAAAAATCATGATCCCTTTATTTATTTTTGGCTGAAGCAAAATGCATTTAGTTGACCCTACATCCATATAACTACAATTAATAAAGAAAAGCATATATATATATATATATATATATATATATATGTACATCCTAATTGTATTCATGTTGTCTATTGAATTTGAATTTACATGATTTATATATATAACAGTCATTTAAATCTGTTTAGTAGATAGTAAAAAAATAGTTTTGGCAACATTCATTGTAATTATTTGGGTTAATAATACTCTCATCAGTTTAGACATGGAGAAGAACTAAATGAGGAAAGCCAAACAAGAGTCTTTCTGAAGTGTTGTGACAAAATTTGGTGCCAGGATAAGAAAAATAAAAAATAAAAATAAAAAGTGTTGTAAAAAAATCAATACTATGAATAGTCAAAGGAAATAAATTTACGGGTTAAAATTATAACTCCCCCATATTATGAAAATCCCCTTGTACTAGTAAACCTTGTGAAACTCATTTAATTTTTCAAAAAGTCATCAAGTTACTCCATTTTCTTTAGTTTGCCATCGGACACTAATTTGCTTACTCTCCATACGACTATATACCTTCTTAGATTTTAAATTAAAATTAAAATATTAAAGTCAATTTTATCATTTCACAACTTAGCTAACAGGCATGAAAAGAAGGATAATTTGACTTATTTGATACTATAGGGAGTTGTATGATTATTTCGAATAGTACCAGAGATTTTATGATTTTGTCTTTAAATTTATATTAATACAGTAGTAAAACATCTAGGGCAATTGTCCCTATTGAATTTTTTTTTTAGCATTAATACTATTGATTTTTCCTTCTTGAGCTATATATTTATAAAAATTTTATATTGCCCCCCCCCTAAAATCACAAAAAATTCACAGTATTACCCCCTTACACAAATTCCTGAGTCCGTCGGTGACTATGATGAAGTAGAAACAAGCTAGACTAAAAATGCACCAGTCACAAAATAAAGATAAGTTGGCTATTGCCAGCCTTTATACCAATCAATACCCACATCATTGTATTGATAAAACATTACAAAATAATTCAAATCCCTACTACCATTTATTTATGTTTTCAATAATACAAAAAACAGAGTATTTTCGGCAGTAAACAACATCAAAATATAAAATTAAAATCAAAATCAAAATCGTTGGTGCAATGGTAACCACATTTTAGTGCTTCAGTTTTCCTCTAACCATATTGTCCCATTTGAGAGTCTGATCACACTGGTAGCAGCAATTTTATTTGAACGCGTGACTGACCATTGAAAATGGAACCTAATGTTTCAATTAATTGGGGGTGAGAAAAGACATCTTCAATTAATTGATTGTTGAGTAGTTGAAGAAATTATAACACGACACTTCTGTAACTGTTGAAGATTATCTTATATGAGAAAAAGATTATTCACGTGCGTAAAACTATTGAAGATTATCTATTTTCAACCCTAATGAATTTTTTTGATATAATTTATATAATTGAGTGATGAGAAGTTGAAGAAATGATAACATGACACATTTGTAATCGTTGAAGATTATCTTACATGAGAAAAAGATCATTCATATGAGAAAAACTATTGAAGATTATCTATTTTTAACCCTAGCGAATCTTTTGATATAATTTGTATAATCGAGTAATGGAGAGTTGAAAAAATGATAACATGACCCTTCTGTAACTGTTGAAGATTCTCTTACAGGAGAAAAAGATTATTCATGTGAAAAAAACTATTAAAGATTATCTATTTTTAATCATAACGACTTTTTTGACATTATTTAAATAAATTAAATAAAATTTTATCAATCACACCTTTCAACAGTTGACGCATTGAAATTTTAGGCTAAAAATTCAAAAGTCGCTCCAAGAAATGATGGGCGCAAAAGTAGAGGTCTCTAATAAACCTCAACAGAGTTCCGAATTTTCTTCTTGTTTTCTAGTCTCCAGTCCTTGTATCTTTCCAGATTTACTCAAAGTTCAAAATGTAGTGGAACCCACTTCTAGAAACAGAGATTTCAACTCTCTCTCTATATTTCTCTTTCTCTCTCTCTAAAAGTAATACTGAGTGAGTGTATCTACTGAATATCAATATCAATATCAATACTGGAAGAAAGAGATTACAAGGAAAGTGCCTAGAAGCAGGTAGCAAGTTGGGAGAGCAACCATAACTTGCTCTACGCTTAGGAAGCAGGTAGGAAAAGAAGAATGTGTGTGTGTGTGTGTGTGTGTATCTCTCTTTGTGTGTGCGCGCTGTGTGCAAGTCACTTACATTTTTCAATCAATTTTCAAATGAGAAGATATTGATGGAACAAACAATGGATGAGTGTCTAAATGATACGAACAGAAAGTGACATAATAATATACGAAAAACATTGAAGCACATGGCATAAATTTGACATGGACCAACTACGTTGAAACTTCTTACTCGGGGAGACACGATAAAAAATTGGAATGATACAAGGAACCACCAACCTTTGAAGTTTCCAACCCTTGGATTATTCATCATGTGATCAAGAATAAAAAAGTCAAAAAACTTTTGAAAAGTACCAAGATCACCACCAACCCATGATGAACCATTAAAGCCGCAGCCCTTAATATGCTGTCTTTATCTTTCTTTAAATCCAATATAACCAAGATCAGCATTCACACATAGGTGATGAAGCAATTTATTTCACAGCTGGTGACTGGGTGTTAAGAAGCAATGAATCTCAAAAGAAAACAGCCAAAATAAAAATATAAATATAAATAAAGGAGGAAAAATATAAATGTAATTTTTGTTTTTGCTTCATGAACCTCCATAACATATAAAATGCAAAATTTGTGATATACAGGATGCAGCTGAACTATTACTAATTAGCAATAGAGATGGTTCCAGTAAATTGAACAAGGGCTGTACATTCTTCAAGTTGTTCCAATTGTGCCCACAAAACTCTAATCCATTACATGACCTAAAATATGTAGCATGAAAATTATATACTTAGTAGGTGTGGTCTTGAAAAATTATGCCAGACCATAAGTACGGATGGCATGAGAACAAAAGATTGAAGGACATCCCAACACTTGCATCAATTAGGGTTCATGGACAACCCACAACATCACCCGGCCACTTAATAAGGGCAATGGTAAGATGGCACATGACATGAGACCAGGCCTGGAGAAGTGAGATAATCCAATTTACATCTTAATGCAAGTGCTTATGCCTCGACTGCAGCTACTTCTTCATCACTAATATCTTCAGTTGTGTCTCCGTCCACATCATCTGTTTCATCATTTGACTCCATATTCATCAGCTTTTCTCTGAGCTTCATCATAATTTCCTCCAGTACACTTTCATTCTCTATCAGGTACTTCTTGACAGCATCCTTGCCACGAAAGCTCTGACCATTCATATTGTACATAGCACCTCCACCCTTCGCTATGAACTTGTGTTTGAGTCCCAAGTCTATGATCTCTGATTCACGACTTATCCCTTTACCAAACTCGAGCTCAAATTGTGCAGTTCGGAAAGGAGGGGCATGCTTGTTCTTTATGATCTTCACCTGAACTTGACTACCAATAATCTGTAAAATAGTATGGTATCATAAGACTACACTGATTACCAACATTTTATGACACGTCCCATAAGCTCATCACAGTCTCTAGCAATTTTAATCCTAGAGCTTTGATAAGTACAAGGACACGTCTTACTTGTGGTTCACAAATAAAGATCAGAATACACTAGAAAACAGGTCCCCAGTATAATATCGCATGGTAAAAGCATTGAATAATGAGATTTAACTTAAACCATCTAATTTGATTGCCATTAAAAGGGGGGAAAAAATCTGGCATTGCTATTTTCCCAGCATAGACCCATGATGCAGGTCAGGTTACAAAAATGCTGGCAAAAACAGAAATATCATTTAAACCTTGTGTTCAATCCATAATAAGCAACGTTCCTTCGGGTTTTTTTTCTTTCTTTTTTTTTGGTTGCCATCGCAGACAAAAGCTGAACATTTTTTGTTGCCTAAACATGAGTGAATGCATATGATCACGTTAGTTACCCCAAGGGGTTGGCTCAAGTGGGTTAGTCACTTGGCTCTGGTGCCTCAGGGAGCTTCAGGTCTAAGGATCGACTCCTTTTGGATACAAACAATTCCTTGGAGAGGGGATTTATAGTGCTGGACAACATTAAAGTTTGGGCCTCATGTACAGGCCATTTTCCAAAGGCCACGTGAACTGGATCAAATATTCGATTATTTCAGTCAAGGAAAATAAATTAAACAATTTGATGGATATCAATACCTCTTCTCCCTTTTTGACTTGACCAATTCTCCTAACATTTAGGCGTATTGAAGCATAGAACTTCAAGGCATTACCACCACAAGTAACTTCACTGGGACCAAATCCAAAAGTAGATAGTTTTGACCTCACCTGAATGTAAATGTAATATATTAGGAATTTCAATCATAAAAGATAACTACATGTCAAAAAAAAAAAAAAAAACTGGAAAACCACATAACTGATTTTCTTAGACCAGAAAACTCTTACCTTTCAGAACTACAGGAGGACATTTCAGCAAACAAAACATATTCCAACTGACTAATTGTATTGTAGATCAAGGTGATTCACATTATAACCAACTAATTTCACTTCCATTAGTTAGATAGATAGCAGAATGTTATTTGTGTCAGTTAAAGAACCCTTTTTCACCCAAAAAAAAACTTCAAGCTTTATTACAGTGATTGCCACCGTTCAACCCCGGGAGCACATTCACATCATTTCTAGCCAAAAAGAAAAAAAAGCATGCGGGACAAGAAGTTTACATCTAAGACTACAAATTGGGAAAATCCCAAATACTTGGCCTAACTTGTTGATCTTACACTCCGTTTCTGATTGTAAGTTATCAAAGAAGATCAGAGAAACATGCTTGATAGTAATTGAGCAGAAACTTAAATACTCCTAGGGTTGAGGGCAACCAGATTAGAGTTGTTGAAGTAATGAAAATTCAAAAATAAAAAAAATAAGATGGATGATAGAACAGAATCGAAGTTTTGATTCTGATACCTGATTTATAAAGATCAAAATAGTTTGTGATAAAGATAAAGAGTGGCTCAATTTGCGAAGCGCTTGGCTCATCAGTCTAGCTTGCATTGCCATGTGTGCATCACCCATCTCACCATCAAGTTCACCTTTAGGGACAAGGGCAGCTACCTGCTAGTGAAAGTAGAAAATTCATAAAATGTCCAAAATTTGGGTAAGACCTTACATCCAAAATGCTGTCTAAAACCATATTATATGAACCATCCAAACATGCAACTTTGACCCATCCAGGCCATCATTCTGCATGTTAGAGCTGAGAGGTACAGCAGAGAGAAAAAAAAGAAAATGAGGTTCCTTCAAAAGAGATTATCCTGAGAAAATAGCAACATCGTAAAACTAGCCTACAAGATAGAGGGGAGAAGCGACCCCAGTTCCATAATTAATTTGAACAGTATAAATTCTTACTTACACTGTCCACAACAACAACATCAACAGAACCACTCCGAATAAGGGTATCTACAAGACTAAGAGCTTGTTCACCACAATCTGGTTGTGAGAGTAGCAACTTATTAGTATTTACTCCAAGAGCCCTCGCGAGTGCAGGATCAAGAGCATGCTCAGCATCAACAAAAACACATTGACCTACGTAAAAATAAAAGGAAAAAAATCAACTCTAGAATCAGCTGATAATAAAATCCACCATAACAACATGAATCATAGTCAATATTCTTTTATAAGTAACCAATAAAGGTCAAAATAAAGAGCCTGCAGAACATTCCAATTAATTTATGAAATCAGCAACCAGAAATCCATGAGTGCATTAGATACATATGTTGTCTTTTCTAAAACAAAGATATGCTTTTTATGCAATTCACTTAAAGTCGAACTTGAAAATTCAATAGGCATGATGCCTTCAATGCAACACAGCAACCTATTCTTTTTGCTAAGCAACATAACAAAATACAAAAAACTTTTCATTCTCAAAAGATTTTTACTGACTTCTTTCTTTTTATTTTCTTTAAGAAGAGAGGGGTTTACATTGTACAAATAGAATACGGAACTGTATCACTCAAATGATTGAACAAATAGAATGGGGAATTGAACAACTCAAATGACTTAATGGATACGATTCCCCCCAAGGGATCACAAGGAAGCAAGAAGATAAAAAATGTCCATGTCCTTCATGAAGAGACAGACCAATGCATCTTCCATAGATAATAGAATGAATTCTACCGGATATTACTTATTAGTTAAAAGGCATTATATATATATATACGGTGGTAACCAACACAGTCACTTCTCATTGATATGACTGATGCAGTAAGAGAAATTTTTTTTTCTTTTCAAAAAAAAAAAAAAAATTACATTAATTTAGGGATTTCTAAAGGTAACCTCCTTGCTTCTGTGATTCAGCAATTACATGTAAAGAAATAGTCGTTTTCCCAGAAGCTTCTGGACCAAATATCTCCACAACACGTCCCTGCAGGAATACAATCAAGACATCAAATAAGTAACCAAGATGGCAACACATCTCATCCCCGTACATTTATTTTGCATATCTTTATGTTACTATGTGGATAAGGTGCATCAAAGTTAAATCTAAAGAAAAAGATCCTGAATATGAATTGAAGAAATGAAGATAGATGAACTGGTAATAAAATTGTTTTTTGCAATGAAAACACGGAACAAGATTAATGTACCCGACCCAGTTGAGTTGACTTAGATTAAAAATAATCAGCTCATGGTTGCCAAAAAGGGAAGCGGGAACTAGGGAGCACGGAACACAAAAATTGCAAATGGCAAATGATCCTAATTCTAATCACCAATCACCTTCGTAATTTACAATTCAAGAACCAAAAAGTAAAATAAAATTCCATTTAGCAGATGTCCAAGTTCGCATAAAATGGATAATTAATTTTACTTGAAAGAAATTTTGCTACTGACATTCTCAATGATATCCCAATAAAGAAAATTGACATTCAATGAAATACGGAGTAACAGCAATTGGGATGTTAAACATATGCATATGAAATGAAATACGCCTCTTGTGATAAATAACAAAATGTCTCACCTAATGTTCAGTCCAAATAACTTGTTAGTCATTATATAGGCATGTATATTCATGGGATTGACTTAGAAAAAAATATATATATTTAATAAATTCTATACTAATACATGTTAAATGGAAATTTGCCACATGGAAAATGAACAACCAGTAGCATCAAAATATTAAAAGATACCTTTGGAAGTCCACCAATTCCCAATGCTATGTCCAAAGAAAAAGATCCTGTAGAAACTACAGGAACTTGATTAGCAGAGACAGACTGACCAAGCCACATGATTGATCCTTTTCCAAAGGTGGTAGTGATCTGATCCAGCGCTTGCTGTAGGGCCAGCTCTTTCTTGGACATATTCTCTCCATTTGAGTCATTTCCATCTGACTTTGTTTTCTTTTTAGCTTCAAATAGATGTAAAGTAAGATAGTTATTAGTTCACAACTATAGCAGACAAAATAAGATACATATATGTTTCTTGCCAATCTAAATAATGAACTTTGTCCAATACATAAAGGGTATTCTAAGAACACTTGCAGAGAATGAAAAAAGGATCCAGCATTTCTATGTATAAAATAAAAAATAAAAAGAAAAAAACCAAAGAAGAAGAACTGCACCTTCAAAAACCTCATCTAAGTCACCATATTTAATATTAGTTTATTACAATTGAGCTTATGAAGATCAATGAGCAGCCTTGCTGATTTCACAAAGCATTGGTATTGGCATGACATACAATTCAATAGTGAGACTAATACATACAAGACCAAATTTTCAGTGACAGACACAAAACATAGACTTCTGTGATGAATACCCATGCAACCGCTTCATTTGGATTGTAGAATTTAGAGTAACTCATTTTTTTTATTTTCAAGAAACTCACATACCCATTTGCTCCTATGGGGACTTGAACCCTCACCATCCACTTTGGGAGGTAGAAGAGATACCACTGGGCCACAAGGCCCTTGGCAATTATTTGAAGTACCTCCAGGCAATGCCCGACCGTTAGGCATCACCATCATGTCCTCGTATAAACATAGCTCACATTCCAACTCAATTTCTAATAAAGTTTGAATTAACCACTTTAGAATATGCACCATAAGTTTAGCTACATTTAATTGCTATAGTTCTTAGCTTTAAGATGCATCATACAAAAGTAGCATCAGCAAAATCAGTTCGATAATATACCAAAGAGAATCATCATATGAGGAAACTTATAAGAAAACAATATGACTTGCAACGATGCCAAAACGTAACAGTTCACGACATTAGGTTTGAAATTATTATTACATATTTTAGTAGAAATTGGCACGAAACACCAGGTTCAGTTACTCCACACCATTCTATCTACAGTTTATCACACCATCAAATTTCATAAGCTCCCCAAACCATGATACATTCAGCTTAAATAAATAACAATCTAGTTTATAATATTTCAGTTGGAAGGTCAACAATTTGAGGAGTCCTCAGAGAAAATCACATAATTGAAATTTTCGTTGATAAAATGGGCAAATGAATATATCATTCATGAGAACCAATATTTAGACCTCTAGAGGAGATAGCTTGTAATTCACAATTAGTTAGTTAAAGTTACTAATTTAGCCCCCTCCCTTCCAATGGTGAAGTTCAAGATGAAATAACAAATAAGCTTGTAAATCATGCAATTCAGACGAGCAGGTAAACCAGATCGAAACAAATGCAGCAGACAATCATTTTAGGGAACTTTGAGCACCTTTAGCAGAAAAGTTGCATAACTGGAAGGATGGTCGCAACATCCCTTTTCTCATACCCTGCAAAATTAACCACGAAATACAAGAAAAGGGGAAAATGATATGTAAGTCATAAATGGAAGAAACTATCATAGCATTGCTTTCCGGTTTTGAAGATTTGCAGCAAGTACAATAGTCATATATATAGCATCAACCACCAATCCACGCAATGAGGCTAAATTCGTTGTGTTTGTGCTCTTTCCCCCAACTTCAAATCATATTCTCTTTTTGTTATCCAATTCTAATAATTTCAACCCATAGTTTAATTTAATTTCAAAAAAATGCTGATGCTTTACCCGGCATTTTGGGTTACTTAACAATCCTCCTCGCCCCTCAAGAATAGAAAAAAAGAAAATAGAAAAGCAACACAACCAAAGCAGATTTCCAAGTGCCTATATTAAAATCAATCAACATAATACAAAGACATACTCACAGCATTGGAAAACAAATTGTGGCAGATTTGCAACACTGATTAAACAATTCAAATGTGTCAATAGGCCATATTTAAGAACTAATTTAAAACTAGTTGTTAAACTGATGCTGCGTGGAGTCCGACTAAAACCTTCAGTTCCAGTAACTTAATAATTGGTAACAAAGGAAGCTAAAAAGGGGGTAAATAAACCAAAATATAAATCCTAAAAATGGCATTGAACATAAATCATATCAAAATTGCTAAAAAATTGATTTTGGTAGTAAAAGAAAAACTAATTTTATTGGTTCAAGATTCTGACAAAAAAAAATAAATAAATAAAAAAAGAGAGAAGATGAACTCCTAAAAGATCAACATATACAAAGGCATAAGTAATACACCACTTGCATGACATTGTCTAAGTATTCACATCACATTTGATTCAGCTTTGTAAATCCACCCCCACCAAACACTTCATAGAAAATTATGAATGAACTGCCAATCACCCAATAGTTGTTTCCAACAAAAAAAAATTGCATATAAAATTTTGTATGCAAAACTCATAAAAAGAATCGATTTTTAAGGACAAACAAACTGATTCCGTACGATTCGGGATCTGAAAAATAAACGTATGAAAATGTACCGCGTCCGAGAACTTTTACTCCTTTTGAAAAAAAAAAAAAAAAAAAAGCATAGTTTTTAGCAACAGGTAAGCAAAAACAAAAGAGACTGAACTATAAAGTATAAAAAGTAACAACTAAAAAAAAAAAAGAAAAAAGAAACAAGAAAGGAATGAGAAAGATTACCTCTGCGGCTAATAGAGAGTGCTTGAGAGAAAAAGCGTTCTGAAGAAGCTTCGCCATTGGATTCTGAGAAAGGTTAGAAGGCCACTCCACAGTCCGCCACTCTCACCCAAGAGCCTCTGCTTGGTAGTATTTAGAGAGCAAATGTGGAGAGGGAAAGAGAGTGTCGGGGAGACGGAGAGACAGGCTTTAGGGTTTAAGGGTTTCCCTCCTTTTGAACTTCATTTTAGACCTAAAAAAAAAATTAAAACGAGAAAAATAAATAAAAAAAAAAACACTTCTTTTATGGGGATGTACTTCCCTTAAAAAGTCGAAAATGGCAGTACCGCAGTAAAACGTTGGGTTAAATATACTGTAATAATTTAAAACTATAAGTGGGCTTGCTGTTTTTTAATCGCATCCTACTTCCTTTTTTTCTAAGTTATTTATGCTAAATGAGAAATTTTGATTATAACTTATGCTAAATGAGAAATTTTGATTATAGTGGTTGGTTTATATTTGAGAGGGAGGAAGGAATGAAATTATGATTATAGTGGTTGGTTTATATTCCGCGTAGAGAAGTTTATTTTTTCATTGTTTTATATTTTTGCATCTCTAATGAGGTACTAATTTTTATTTTATGCTGAAAATTTTACTTCTAATTTTATTAATAAGTCACTCTTCCATAAGAGTTGGTCACTTTTCGTAACGTAGTAAATGAGATACACTGCACCACAAATCATTTCACGTGGCCAAAACCTTACAAACATTAGAGTTCATCTAATTTCATAATTTAAGAGGGATAAATCTGACGAGAGTTCTAAAAATGCTCTAGTGTCTCGAGCAGATGGTTTAAATCAAAATTATTCTCAAGCCTGCTGGTTGGATTATTTGTGTGACTTATGAGGAGTCATCGTGCTCTAAAAGCCATTTTGGACCCTTTCAAGACACAGTAAGTTGGGACAGGTAAATGCTACAAACAGTCGCCTTGGTAGGAAAATGAAAAAAGAAAAGAAAAAGAAGATGATATTTTGTCACTTTCAAAGCTGTTTAACTTTGTAATTTGCTATGCAATAGATCACAAATATTGATGCTTAATGAATCCAATTTCTCAATTCATGATTTAACTTTGTTACCGGGACCTTGCTCATAATAACATCTTTGTTAACATACCAAGGCCTGGTTCAAATGGTTCAGCTGTGTGCACACCAAATGTGGCTCGTGATAAAATAACAATTCGTCGTATCGTCAGATACGAGACGTATCGACCGATACACGACCCTTTTTCAAGTCTGATACGTGACTCGTATCGGCCAATTTACTATGACTTTGTCAGAGTCCGTTATACCGCGATCGCCACCGATACCGCGATTGTGACCTATACTGCGAACCATTAAACACAGTTGTGGAGAGATTTTTTTCTGTGGCTAAAATAATCAGTAAAGCGATGTTCAATAAAAATATCAAGTATTCCTCAAAAACAATTGGTTGCAGGCACTGCAAGATATAGGAACACTGTATCAGAATCCAACAACATGCATCTATCAAACAACCGGGCACCTCTGGCTAACTCAAAACACATTCCACAAACAAATGAAAGAGAAGGACTCTAAAGCTCTTAATATATAATGGTCGAAAAGAAAAAACCAAAACTGATGCCTCATTCCAACTCGCTTTGCATATTCCGATCTTCATCACCCATAAACAACTCTAAACCAAAAAAGCAAAATCCGCTGTCCATTGCATTGTGTTACTGCTGCTTGCACTCAAGAGGCTGCTCACCCTGCTGACCAACCCCAACCTGGTTTCTTCCGGCCTTCTACAATTTACAACCCAATAAATAATGAGTTCGTGCAGGGGTGTTAATGTCTGTTGTGTGTGTGTGCCCGCGAGAAAGAGAGATTCAGTACCTTCTTCCTGGTCCTGGTTTCATCTTCATCTTCCTTGTCATCATCCTCCTCCTCCTCCTCATCATCATCTTCATCATCTTCTACTTCTTCTTCTTCGTCATCACCACCATCATCAATATCTGCAAAGTCATCTGGAGCAGCCTCTCCGGTAAACCACAACACAGCACGGGGGATAATTTTATCTCGAATAATTGACCTACAAAAAGCATCATAAGGTTAGTAAGAAAAGCCGTGAACAAATAAGAGTGTTCATGTAGTATTCACAGAAATATACAATAACAGCACATAATCTCACATTATATTCAAGTACAAAATAACCAAAATAATGATGGAGAGAATCATCAATGTTAGCAAAACTTGAGGAGAAGATAGCTAAAAAACTATATTTAGCATACCCAATGTCATAATCTTGTTCCATCAGATTTTGAAGGTCTTCAGCCTGTTCAGAAAATAAATCACAATAAAATACAAATTAAGCAACCGATTTAATAATATATTGGACCGTAGCAATGGTGGACAAACAATTTAATTCTTTTACGCTGAAATGTTGGTGGACTTGCAGCATCTTCATCAATAACTTCATCATCTTCAGGGACTTCAGGTGGGCTGAAGAAGTTGAAGAAACTTTCACATTTTTCAGTTCTTGTGATTGGTTTTGCATTCTTTAAACCCTTCTTAGGCTTTTTCTTAAGCAGCTTCTCTGTCAAGCATTTCCCTGGATACCATTCAATCTCCGTCCTACAAAGTACAAGCTAGAGTAACAAAGGAGAAGTGAAGAAAATATGTACAACAGCCATTTCTAATCAACAAACCAAAAAAATAGATATAGTAAGCCAGAAATCAAAGTTACCCTATCACTTTCTCCAGAAGGGGTTCATCTTCGTCAATCATGTGATAAGCCTTAGTCAGAACAGAGTTCTTGAAGTAAGGATTATTGGCAAAGTGAAATTCAAGCCTGAAACCGTTGGGGTCATCTATCCTGCACCACTTGATATCTTTAAGAAACTTGAGAGCTCCTTCATCACGCTCAGTAATCTGACTCCGTATAAAAGATGAAGCCATATATGAACCAGAAATTCATATGTAAGCACAAAATACGACAAAGCAGCACTCTCAATTTGCTAACCTCATGGGATATCACTTCATTAGTCTTCATTGCAGTGAGCCAAAAATCGGGCACTCCTTTCTCTGCATGAACACGTAATACAACTTCTTTTGATAAGTATAAACATATAAAACGATATTTAGGTACCGAGTGTAGCAACCAAATAGCTAGGTCCTAAATTGATGTAAGTATGTACGTTCTGTAGCTTTATCCTCTCCTTGGTCTGTAGCTGCATCATTTGTATTTCCTTCAGCTTCGACAATGCCATTCACAATGTCATATCGCTACAAATTTTCATACATTTAACAAAGTGGACACATGAAGTTAAAAGGCCAAATTTACAATTAAAAATATTTGTGGCAAGTATAAGATACCTTAGTGTAGAGTGGTTGATAAAGTTTTTGATATTTTGCTTCAAGCGCTGCTCTCTCCTCAAAAAATTTCGCTTCTAACTCATCATGTTGGCTCTGTAAATTGAGAAAAGGTTAGAAGGTTCAATTTCAAAATACTATATACAATTCTTTGTGTTCCCTCAGCAAAAATCATACAACAACAATAGGAATAAGCAATAATCAGAAAAGAGAAAAAAAAGCATAACGATATCTCATGCTACAATTGTAAGTTACTTCAAAGTGAAAGACACTAGATAGACAAACTATTTAACACAAAAAAAACAAAAAAATAAAGTTTGCCTCGTCTACCCTTAACCTATAGTCCTATAGGTGAATATGATAGAGGATCCACATTCCACACTGAATTGCTAGCTCCAATAACAATTATTAACATGCGCATTGAGGAACAAAACCTACTTCTAACAGGCCTGAGGTTAAAATTTACAGCATTATACTACATATTAAATGGAAAACTATACAGACAACTGGTAGGAAACAAGCAAAATTGACAAGCCTTAACAAGCTAAAACAAATAATATGTTAATTTAGACTAAGTAGTTATACTTTGAATGTATCTCATCCACAAGTATATTCATGACACAGCATGGCCTGTTACCCCCACACCCTTGTAATTTTCAGATGCCAGTGACAATGAGGAAAAGATCATGCATAAGCAACGTAAGCTATGCCAAACATTTAGGCATTTGATCATTAACATCCCGTACAAACTAGGAAAAAAAACATCCCGAACAACAACTCAGCCAAAGGAAAGAGGCTATGTGGAAGGAAACTATTGTGAAATCTGAAAATAAATGCTGCCATATACATTTCACCCATCCGCCCGTGTTCCGATCCAACCAAATTATTTATATTTAGCCTGCTTGTACAAATCAGTCTCTCAATATCCGTAATATCTATTCATGTTTGCTCAAAATTCATCGTGGTCCATAAACATTAGTGCTTATTTTAACAAAATTGTAATTCCTGATGAACTTCAAGATTTTTTTTTTGTCTTTAAAGTGTGTAGAAACATGCTCCCGTGTGTTATCATAACACAACAAACAAGTTTAGTGTAGCAGTGCACTGTCATAGAACATGCTTCAGCCAAAACCAGTCTCGAATTACAAAAACATAAACCTATTTCTGTTCATATAACCATCAAAATCACAAAAGGCGTAATCTTTTTTTCCCTGTCGAAAATTGGGTTTATCATTTACAGATGGTACATTTTTTGTCAACAGTTGTCACTTGTCATCAACCAAACAACAACATTCAATTAGAACACATGCCTTTAACTGACACTGTGAGGCATATAATGAGAAAACACATTAATATTTATGTGTTACAAAGAAAGTAAGACATCCAAATACCCATTAATGACAAATATAAAAATCTCATCAATCAGCGGGATTACTTTTACTAACATTAAACCAAAAAGAAAAAAAGTGCACAGAGATCGGAGAAAAAGAGGGACTTGGTGGAAGAGACCAATGGGCATGCCTCGGATGGTATGAACCGTCCTTCCCAAAGAGGAGGTCGAGTGCTAGGGACAATATTGTGGGCGTGTGCTCATTTGGTTGAACTTTCAATATATATAGATACATATGTGTATATATGATTTACATAGAAGAGTAATGGAACCTGATTTTGATTTCAGAGAGCTCATTGACCATGTCAGACAATGTGCACAAACAAACACACACACACATATAAGCAAACATTTATATAATTATATAATCATATATTATAAGCTGGAGTTAGAAGAAAGAGCATGCCTGGATCACTCTCAGAACCTCGACGCGCTTCCTGACTCTCGGAGATAGCTCTTCCAGCACTACAGAGTGCTTACCACTAAGATCCTGAACCTTATTCTGCACAAGCCCTCATATTGTGAGCCCCAATCAAACCCTAAACTCGAGAGAAAAACAATATATATGTATATGTACCAAGATACAAAATTGTTAAACAGTATAATAAAGTACTCACTTTGAGATCATTGACAAGGTCTGCTCGATCCTCAGGATTCAGAGCTATGCACATACAAATACCAAAATCATAAGATAATTCTTTCATATCATGACTTGACAACCATATATATATTTATATATGTATGCACAGTGCACACACAAATCACTCCCATACACACATATCAAGGTTTTGTGTATGAGGTTTTTACCGGCGACAGCGCCAGGGAGAGCAGAGCCGAGATCAGACATGACGGTGATTGTTGTTATTCGTGGCAGATTACTGAAAGACAAATCCTATAAGAAACCAAAACCCTAGAAGAAGGGTTTAAGTGTAAGGAAAATGAGAGGGGAAAGAGCGCGCCTCAAGAATCAAGATGTGATATATGCCGTGTTTGGTACCCGTATTATTCTGCTTATATAAACACACTTTTGACATCAACTAACACAGTTTCATTTCTAAATTTCCAATCCATATATTCAAGGTTGTTAATTCTAAACATTAGGCATGGATGAGACCACATATTTAACACAGGACTAATATGCATCATTATATCTGCAAACATGTCTCATCCATGCCTAATATGCATCACTATATAGCAAACATGTCTAATACGTGCATTATAGAATCATCCATGCATATAATTACATCCTTGTTTTGTGATCTTTCAAAACATTAATAAATATTATTAGTGGAAATGATATAATCTCTGTTCTCTAAGAAGAGATTGAAAAATTAATTAATATTACTAGTCAAAATGGTAAAATCTCTCCTCTCCAAATAAGAAGAAGAGCGTTTGAACCATAAAAAAGGCAATATTGTGAATATGCGTATGTTTTGCTTCAACTTTCAAAAAAAAAATATTTTCAACAAGGCAGGCAAGAGCGCTATTCAAATCCTGTACTAAAAGTAAAATAAATAAATAAAATTACAGTGCAATGTGTTCACCAAACTTGTTTTCCTGCAATCAGCGACTATTTTTTAGTTAACCAAAAATTGAGAAAATTCCTCAAATAGTTGCAAGCTGCTATGGATAATTAGTACGAGAATTGCGTAGGTGATTTTCCAAATACAGTGTGTGACAAGAATAATGAAAATGGATACTTTCAAGTAGTTCAAGACAAGCTGCTGCTGTCCCTCAAGATGGTAGGAGTTTTCATAAGTTATGCTACAACAAACCACCCTTCCACGATTCTAGCATATCTAAACTAAACCATCTTGAATCTTGGATCTTCAAAGCTTAAGTTGTATAAAGTTTCACGAGGTTGCATCGTCTTCATCATCATCTCCTTCAGAGTCATTTGGTTGCTCAGCATTGCCTGCCTTCTCTGGTGTCAAATAGCGTCCAGTCATTGGATCAATTGGGCGGGTATCTCGTGGCCCACCTTTGCGTCCCATTGCCAGCATCGGTGGTGGGGGTAGCAACCCTGCTCTGAAAAGAAGGCGCTGAACAGGATCTGACGGCTGGGCACCAACAGATAGCCAATACCTGCAGCATGAGAGAATATCATAGGCGAATTATAACATGGATGTCTTATGCCCAACTAATTCAAACTTCATTACAAGGTTTCAGGAGATCCATTCAGAGAGCCTAACACAACCATAAAATAAATAAATCGCACCAAGAAAACAAATGTTCGAATTTCTTCATCAATCTGACTGAAATATAAAATGTTTGAATACTTGCATAATAATATTATCATTCCTAAAGTGCACTGATCAACTTACATAAAATTTGCATCAATTAGTTTCAATTTCATTACTCTCCCCCTCCTACAAAAAGTCAAAAAAAAGAAGGGGAAACAAACAACTTTTGAAGTGATCAAAGTGGTTTCAAACTCCAGTAACTTTCCACTTCAAAAATTTATTGAAAATTTGGCAGGAATTGGAGATTCAAAACCTTGCGACAGTGGAAACTTGAAAAAAGACTTTTTCAATTGATAGACTTGTTACAAAATAAAACAACCAGTAACGCTGGATAATCAACGTGGCCCAGTCCAAGCACATTCAAACATCCCATAATGCCTGTCATGAATAAGGGATCGCAGAAAATTAGGGACCATGATTACCCACATTTAAAACCGTTATTAACGGCCCTAAGAAAGGCTCTGTATGAATATATAAATAAGCGATCAATGAGAAGAGAAAAACACCAATTTTTATCTGCTCATACTTCTTTTGCCGAGCTTGTTTCAATTCATTCATAGTTCTATCGCTTCGATTTTCATATTTATTCTTTTAAGTGTCCAGGTGTTTTTTGGCACCTACAATATTATTATTTTAAGATTTAATTTTTTTAAAAAAATTAATTAAATATTATTATTTTGTGTAGAAGCAACATCAACCCCCAATTAGAATTCTCTCATTGATGGATTATTTTTAAATTCAAGGGCTTCTGGTAGAGGGCGTTGTTTTCCTCCAGTTTCCAAGGCAGGGTATCAACCACAATGATATTTGAAACAATTTGACAATAGTCTCTGCAGAATGAGTTTCCTGGTAACTGTTATGCACCATATTTACAAGACATGAAAAGAGTGCAGAAGATGCAATAAATAGGGAGCCTCACACATTCATCCTTGTTTGAAGCACAACTCCAGAAGAAAAAAAAAACCCTCTTACGAGCAATGGTCCAAAGGAAACATTGAAGGACCAAACAGCCTTAAGACAAGAGGTGATATCTGGAGTATTTCATCATGATTTGCATATATAACTCCAAAACAGAAAAAGATTTACAGAAGAAACCACGAGGCTGAGAAATATTAGTTCAGAGTCCACACCGTACACATCCACAGAACTCTAAGAAGCAAGATGAACTTGTGAAGCTCTTTCAGTAATTTTAAGCAAAGCAAAGGTTCCAAAGAAGGCCACTTATGGCTAGACAAATGGTTCAGCAGTGGTAGCCGACCTAAAACTGGAAAATCCATATAATTGATTGAAGCGGAAAAAGATTAAAAAGGCAGTGAACATGAAGGTAGGCCACATAAGGTTGGATCAAAGTGATTCCACTCCCAAGATATATATCTCCTAACATTTTAAATCGTGGAATTTAAAAAGTCAATAGCCCTGGGATTTCCACCAAGGACACACCAAGGTATCTAGTGGCAAATGACCTATCTCACACCCAAAACAAGAGATGTCAAATCTACACAATATAAGTCATACAATAATGCTTTCAATCTGATTATATTACCCAAACCAAGCAAAGCCCGAAATAATCAGCCTTAGTTTGTTTAACAAGAAAGGGGAAATTAGAATGGTAAAATCATTTCAACAAGCCTAATCCCGACCACTTAGGTGGGTTACATTTATTTCTTCTCTCCATCAGTACTTCATATACCATCACCTTGTTTAAGATATCACAAGTATGTCATGGCGTCAATCCACCTGTTTTTTAACCTTCTCTTATTCTTTTGGCACCTTCAAATTGGATCCAATCACTCCCATGTAGCAATATATATTAGGTGGTCTATGTTGCACACTGAATAAACAAACTTAGACAATTTTCTCTCACTGTATTTCCAATTGATGCCACTTAATACTTCTAATAGATTCATTTTTTTCTTGTAGTATCACTTATTCATGTCAGCATCCTCATCTCAAACAACTGGGATGATTATGTTGTTTCTAAACTATTCAACACTCTATAACAGACAACACATCTGACTTTATAGTTGTCAAATATGGAGTAATACTTTTCTTCAGTTTGGTAGAAATTATGCGTCACACCCACAACCAACAAGAAGTTTCGTCCATCCTGCTGAAAATGAATAAACCAACTTAGTCGATAATCTTTCACCGTATTTCCAATTGATGCTACTTAATACTTCTAATAAATCCATTTTTTTCATATCTTTTCTTGTAGTATCACTTATTCGTGTCAGCATCCTAATCTCAAACCACTGGTTTTATTACCAGTTTCTAAACTATTCAACACTCTATAACAGACAACACATCTGACTTCAAAGTTTTCTGCTAAAACTTTTCTTCAGTTTGGCAGAAATTATGCGGTCACACCAACAACCCAGAATTTTCATCCATCGTGCCCTGATTCATGGGTAATGCACTCTTAATTTATCCCATCATTATCGATAATTGATTCAAAATATTACAAATCATTATTCTTAGGCATTTCTTGGCAACCTTCTTTCACTATAACATCAAATATACTTCTAAATTTGCTAAGACTGCACCTCTATATATTCAACGTTAGTGTTAATTAAGCTAAAGCCTTTAACATTCTTCACCTCCTTCCTCTCTCTAAAGGTTTCACTTGCCAAACCGCCATTTGGAAAGAGGCTAAAAACCATTCAACCCTTCTTTTTACTATTCCTATTTCCACCAATCTCCATTAGCACTATAATTAATAATTTTATGAGAAATCCTACCTCGTTAATTCCCCTCATCTTTACCAACAAACATACTGGGCATAAAATTCTTTTTCTCCTGCAACAGTAAAATTTTACTTATCAATATTAAAATACAAAATAAAAAATCCGTTTATCCTAATGTCAGTGATATTTATTTTTAACTTATTAAAAGGGGGCAAAAAAAAGTTCCTCTTTCTCCTACCATTTGCACAATGGACAGAAGAACATTGAATATTTGGTACAATGTTTTGGGAAAGGTGCATGTACTTGTTTAAGATTAACTAAATAATGAAATTTGAGTAGCTAATAGAAGTTGTAGACAACAATCAAAACACTCTCTCCAACATTTCACTAACAATTTATGAAAATGAATCCTGAAGCTGGAAAAAGAATAATTAAGCCACTTACTTCACTCTGTCAAAATTAAGACCCATTCGCTTACCACCATCCTGACCTGTATAAACCAAACACATTGAAAACCAATTAGCACTTCGGATATGATGACCTCCTGTTGAGTAATTTCTACAAGTTCATTTCTTTACTTACACTTCCTCAGCAAACTAAGCAAATCATAGAAAAGGAATTGAGAACAAACTCAAAAAAAAGGGGGAGAAATCGCATTCTTTAGAATGTTAAATCCGATGTTAGCAAAACTAAATAACCTAAGTGACCCAATTCAACACTTCCTCTGGGGAGAAATTGAAACCCCTCGAACAATTCGCAACCAAATTTTGTTCTCTTAGATTTTCTCGGCAACCAAATGGCAGAGATAGAGTAAGAAATTACCTGGTAACGGGTTGTAATAACCCAAGACTTCCAAGTGCTTGCCATCTCTAGGAGATCTGCTATCGGCGGCCATAACTCGATAGAAAGGCCTGTTCTTGCATCCGAACCTTGATAATCTGATCCTCACCACCATTTTTTAAACTTCGCTTCAAACTTCTCGACACTAAACTCGAAACACTGCTGGGTGAATATAGACCATCGTTTTCGAATACGGAGTGTGAAATGTGTGATTTTGTAGAACAGAAACCCTAAACCAATAAATCATCCTTTTATCGCACCAAAAAAAAGAGAGGCATAGGGTAAAATTATAATTTTATTTTTCCGAAATTAATTAAAAACTTTTTTATACAGTAAAATTCAGTGATATGATGCATATTTATTGACCTCTTGATACACAATCAAGTTTAATATTATGCAATTTGTACCCATCAATTCTAATTAATTATGGGTGGACTTGGGTTAAGGTGTTAATAAATAATATCTAATCCGAATTTAAATTATAATATTATTTATATATATATTAATTTTAAATATATTATATATAATATTTAAATAAATTAGACTTTAATTGAATAATGAGTTAAAAATTGAATTAGAATTAAAATAAAATTCAACATTTTATATATGAGGTTGGGCTCAAACTTTACAACCCTAAGTTTATAAGATGAAATATTAATTGAGTTGGCCTGCTTATGTGATGTCAGCAAAACTCACTTCTAAGTTCTAACCATGACTCAAGCCCATGAAACAAAGTCTGCTCTTCAAGACTTCCAACTCTTTGCTGTCTCTTTTTATTGCTTTAATGCTCTGTCCTACTACGGAGTAGCATTTATTTCAAATGTCTTTGATTTAACAATGATACAATGATATATATATATATATATACACACACACACTGTACACTTGCCATAGTTTCAAAATAAATTTATAATTTTGTGCTCTCTGATCCATTAGAAACAAAATTTCTCTTTATCTATCCATCTCTTAAATTTATATTCACTGGACCATTTAATTGAGTTATTGAAAGAAGCATTTCGATTAGAAATCTATATAAAAACTGACCCTTTATTATTTAATCCCAACATTTTTGGATTAATCGGGATTACACTCGTAATGGCTAATCATCTTTGCATAGAAATCTATTTGTATTTTTCTTACAATAGAATAAATGACATTTTTTTTCTTTCTCAAGTTAAAATTTTATAACAGGCTTGTTAGTGGATTAGATTAACTTTAATAGAATTGACAAGTTTATCATGCTCTAGTCAGTGATATCTCATATGTCTTATGAAATGAAAATAAGATTTCATGTTTCTATAGAATAAAGAGACAAATAAGTATATGATTTTCTTACTAAGAAAAAAAAAAAATTTACAAGTTTAGCTCCAAATTACAAAATGACTTAAAATATTTTTCATTACAATTTTTTCTGTTGTTTTTGGAGACTAACTTTATCATATCTACTTTGACCTTTATTATTTTAAATGATCAATTTCATCATTGTAATGTAATGTTCATCAAATAATGTGGTGAAATTAATGAATGACATTATTTTGATAAATAGGTGAGGTGGCATTTTTTTTTTTTTTTTTTTTTTGGGTGTATTGTTAAATTTTGTGAGACACTATCAAAGAAAATTTAAGGCCATGATTTAGTTAGTCAAACCCTTGGTGGCACCTTCTAATTGGTAACTGAATGACGAAGAAGATTTGATGCTCCGTTTTGGTGCATAGTGCCAAATAAATGCAGGCTATTCATAGCTCCAACAAAGGGCACAAAAGGGCTCCTATTATCCTAATTCCTTCTGGTTAACACGTTGCATGCATGCAAATGAAATGGTTGCTTATCCAATCCTAATTATTCCCTCCTCTCCACATGCATCTACAAAACTATATATATATATATATATATATATATTATGTATACATATATATATATATATTATGTATACCGTTTCGATTACGCAAGTTCAACAACTCTCAAATTTAAAGGCTGAGATTATGCTGCGGTGACTGTAACTGCACTTAACATTTTGTATATTTCAAAATAACATAAATTGTGTAAAGTGTGTCACATTGTAATGGGATGTATGGCGGTAGTTAATTGGAAAATGATTTACACGCTATTTGCATGCTATCAATAGAATGTTAGTACCAATGGCTTATTAGTCCAATTGTATAACTTCTAAACCTTTAAAGGAGAGGTGGGTTCGAGCCCACACCTGGGCGGTGTGTGTAAGTACTTAATTTAAAAAATAAAAAAAGAAGAAGAATATTAGTGGTAAATAAGGGTTCTGATTTCACCAAGTAATAAGTGGTGGGCCAATTCCAGCTACTCCACACACGGTGCAATATTCTTTTTGAGCTACGAGACTGATCAATAACTGGTGTTCCTAAAACACTCAGTCCCTCGTCAACCACTTAATTATGGAAGCAAAAACAATAAAACAGGAGCTGGAAATTGTGATCGTTGATGATAACACTGATGTTGGTGGTGGTGGCAGCGGCTATGGCAACCGCAATAACGGCGGTGGTGGAGGAGGATGTCTTGCTGAGAAAAACAAGGCGATGAAAATTGAAGTAGACATTAACGGTGGAGTTGGAAGCAGTGGTGCCGGAGGAGGAGGTGGGGGCAACGACAATGGCGGTCATTTATCAAGGTGTTTGCCTCCTCCCTTCTTGAGAAAGACCTTTGACATTGTGCAGAACCCAGAAACAGACTCCATCATATCATGGAGTGCCGATCTTAGGAGCTTCATTGTTTGGGACTCTATCAAGTTCGCTAGAGATATTATTCCCAAACATTTCAGGCACGACAACTTCCATAGCTTCATTGTTTCCCTCAACGCCTACGTGAGTATCCATTTTGCAAATCACTTTGCCCATACTAAAATATTATATTTTTCATAGGTTTTTATGTTATGAATTAGAGGTATGATTGAATTATGCTTCAGTTTTGTTCTCTCTCATTTTTTTGGGAGCTTTACCTATTGAATTTGAGGTTTATTGTATATGTATAGGTTTGGTTAGAGGAGCCCTTTTATTTTATTTTATTTTATTTTTGGGTTTGTCTTTGGAATAAACTAGAATCAAACATTAGCTGGGTTTCGTTCAGTTCTATGATTTTGGACACTTTTATATATATATATATATTATCGTTCATAGCTGTTTGATTTCATTCTTCAAATTCTCAAACCATAATAGAATCGTGATCAACAATCCTTTAATTTTTAGAACATAAACCAATCCAAATTGTATAGTTTTGATTCCGTCTGATTTACTTTACATTTTCTAAGGATTTCTTGTGCACCCCTACTTTTAAGTGGTGTGTGTATTCAAGAGGTTTGTTTTTTCTTCTCCTCACAAAAAACACACCAACACATACTTGCATTTACGAGACTAAAACTGTCGACCAATTTGTAGTTTATTCTAGTGAATGTGAGGATTACTGTATCTGGGGCTTTTTTTGTACTTGCTCATGTGGTAGGGTTTATTATGGTTAAACTCTTTTAGGGTTTCAGAAAGATCCATCCGGACCGTTGGGAATTTGCAAATGAAGAGTTTCAAGGAGGGAAAAGGCATTTGCTGAACAACATCAAAAGGAGAAGGAAACCTCCTCAAAGATCACCTTGTGCCGATCCGGCGACTTACAAATTAGAGTTGCAGCTAGAAAAACTGAGGAATGATCAGAAGAAAATGCAAATAGAACTTCTGAGGCTGAAACGGCGACAAGAGGATATACAGAACGAACTGACTGACGTAGAAAAACGCTTGCAAAGTACTACACATTCAAAACAAAGATTGGTCACGTTTTTAGCCAAAGTATTTAACCCAACCAACCTTCAGCAATTCATTCTGCAGCTGAGGCAGAATAGAGAACTGGCAGGTGGTGAAATCTCAAAGAAACGGAAATTTATCGCACTATCAAGCAACGAATGCCCAGTGGAGGCTGCGGACACCACAAGCCAAAATGTCAATTGCAGTAGCCAGAAAGAGGAGGAACTGGCAACTCTTCAATCCGATATTCAGACCTCAGTTTCTCCACTAAAAGATGATCAATCAGGCAGTCCTAATCATGACAAAAAGGATCATGAAGTTTTCGGAACAAGTACCTTAGAATTCAATTCCGAGGATTTCATACCTTGGGAGAAACTGATGTTGGAAGATTTGATTTTCGAGAATGAAGCAGAAGAAGAGCTGGGACAGCATCACTCCAAGTTTGTCCTTGAATTGGAGGATTTGATCAAGCAGCAAGCTGAGTTGGGCGGGTATGTGAATGAGCTGGTGGAGCAAGCAGGTTGTCTCTAATGTGTTTAAATCCACTGCTCACTGCTGTGATATTCTTGCACATTCTTCCATTTAAACATACTACACTCAGTTATATATGCAAATCACACACACACACATATATACATATACCAAGTTATATATACCATATTTGATGCTAGAAATCATATTTAGAAGACTCTTTTTCTATGGCAGGGAAGAGAAGATGTGTAGAAGAAGGTGCTGATGGATCCAACAGATAGGCATTTCGTTTCTTTCAGAAAACGGTCCTTCAATGGTCTTCGCAACAACTTTTAAGCCGTAATGTTGCCAATGTTTATGCTTACAATATTTTATTTTACCCTTTTCTTCTACTTCAGTCATAGTAGGATTTGCTCTGTTATTATGTTCAAATACTGTTCCCTCAGAAGTTATTACATAGTTTGTTCTTACAACGGTACTTTTTATATGTATAACAGTTTATAATTGTATTCTAGGTCTTTGAGATGATTATTTGGTTAAAATTCTATACATTTCAGAATATATAGTTCTTTTTATGCTTGGTCAATTAATATGACAGTGGTACCAAAGCTTGGAAAGTTGGATTTACAGCTCCTACCGTGTTTACCACTGCCCTAACAGTTTGTATTTTTTGAGTAATGGTGTATTAAGAAAATTATCTAAACCACCTTATAATGAAATTTTTTTTTAAAGAATTAAAATAGGTGACAACGTAATTATCAACGCTACCACTCCTTTAACAGGGGCATTGCTTTAAATTCTACACACCTTGCTCCATCAATATGAAAGTTTTGGCAACAGAGTTCTTAGATTGTGCATACACAGGTAACCAAATATTATACACCTAGTTAAGCGAATTCTTGGGAATGAGATCGGTTTTTCTATGTTCCCCGACCATCTGACACAGAATAATCTCATGTATCCTTTCTTTAATAAGTTTGTGAAGCTAAATGTTCTCAAACATTCACCATAAGGTATTTAGATAAAAAAAACATTCACTATAAGGTTCAAAGCAAGTTTATCTGTCCATTTGTTATTGGCTCGCACCATGCCTTCCACAAATCAAATGCTGCTATTTTCACGCAGAGGTTTTAGATTGAATTATGTTGCCTAATAGAAGTAAAGACGCAAGTGTAATGAAATCAGGACATATACTAACAAAGGACATAGCTCAGAGAATGTTTTTATTTATAAAAAAAAAATGGCAGATTAAAAAATCTTGACCTCTAGTTGACCAAAATCAATGTAAGAATTCTCTTAATTCCAAGACTAGAACACTAATTTCTCTTTAAAATTCTTCAAATAGGTTGTAAAATCACCCAGATTACATACCGGTAACTTTTGTTTGTTGGTGAAATACAGATCATCATTCATTTAAATCAAGAATACGCAACTACGCACCTTAGAGGCTGTTACATAATGCCGGCTCCACCTACGAAGGGGCAGGGTGCTGGGATGGTTAGACTGCAGAGGTACCAACTCATTCGTGAACCTGCATTGTCAACCTCATTAACCCAGAAAAAGCAAATAATTTAGCATCCTGCATTGTCAACCTCATTAACCCAGATAAAGCAAATAATTTAGCACCAATGCTAGCAGAGAAAAACAAATACCGAGTAATCAAAATCATCATTAGAATACAACAGAAGATACCAATCCTCTCCATCCTATAAATTAGCTGGAAAATCAAATTATACCACAAAACTTGATTACAAAAGGCTGAATCAAAAAATAAGAAAAATGGAACTATATGATGCAATCAGTCATGTCCATATGAACTTGAATATGAACATGGAACTATATGATACAACAAGAAGATGCTTTTCTGCACCTCTCATTCACAAGTTATCTATTTCTTCAAGGTAAGATTACCATTTGGCATTCCCACTCTTAGGGTTGTCGAAGAGGATGAAGATGGTATGTTAGACTTATCATATTCCTCTTTGTCCTCACTAAATGCCTTACTTAGAACTTCTTGCAGTTCCATGTATCTCTGCTTCTTCAGTTGCCGCTCCTCTGAAGTGTCCTTACCCAGGTAGGCTAGCTCTGATAAGTCATCAGCATCCATGATCTTATTGAGTATTGCTGAACAGCGAGGGAAGAAGCGTTTCCCAAGTTCCACTTCTCATGCAAAAGTAGATAACAACACATTTTATTCTCAAATGTCAAATTGAAAATTGTTGACTTAACAGTATTCCAATTTCTGATCATAGAAAATAGAAATCATATCATGTAATCTTAGAGATCCAATACTTAATACAAAGTAAACGATCCTGCTAAAGAATGATCATGATGAAAGGGTGGTGGTGATAAAAATAATAATAAATAAATAAATAATGAGAGAAAGATGACCACAAATTCACAATTATTTTTGAGATTTATTTTCAAAACCAGCTACCAGTTATAAGTTAAGAGTGCACTTTCATGTGGGAAGTAAAACAAAAAGATTCAACATGCATGTGGGTTACACATCATTACCAGTCTTAGAGAGTGCCTTTAGCCTACTTAGATGCTCCTCTTTCATCTTGAAAGGTGCCTCATTCAAATCGACTGTCGTCCTCGGGGAATCAGCTAAATTTTTAGAGTTGATGCCAGCTAATGGAAACTCAGAAGTGCCATCTACTTGAGCAATATCCATTGCAACCCTGGCTTCCATAGGGAACAAAAGTTTCGCCAGTCCAACTGATAAGGTCATCAAATTAGTTAATCACCATCATTATAAACTAGTAAAAGAATTAGTGTTGGATTGAACCAGAAGTGAATATTAGAGAATTTATTTATCATGAAACTAAAGAGATTATACTAGTCAAGGGATGAAACCACTGCCTGGTTCTAGAAACTATTTATCCTCCTGATCCCATGATAATGAAAAATAGCACCTGTTCCTAACTTCCTATAATCCTATTAGCATGTTTAATTTTTCCTCAAATTTCCTCTTGTAGCTCTAATTTATTTTAGAAAAATCTCCGACTCTGAGAAAAGAAAAGATTGGGTGATGTGTGTGTGTGTGGGCGCGTGTATCAGTATATATGTATTTGTGTTTCTGTCTGTATATATAATTGTTGAAGTATTTAAATATTAAAGTTACACCACCAACAGGCCTGTGGCCTAGCGGTACAAGGCCCCTACTTCCCAAAAGGAGGTTAGGGGCTCGAACCTCAGTAGAGGCAGTGTGTGTGAGTACCAACTAGAAAAAATATATATATATTAAAGTTACACCCTCTCCAACAACTTAAGCTTTTGGAGGAGAAGGTTTTTAACATGGTATCAAAGCCAAAGGTCTCAAGTTTAAACCTCACCCCCTAATTAAAAAAATTGAAAAACACGTCTTGGACCAAAAGAAAGCCACACATGAAGGGGCGTGTTGAAGGATTTAAATATTAAAGTTACACCCTCTCTAAAAATCACTCTAAAACAAAGCACATTCTACATTGGACCTTCCCCCACATTGCTATGTTTGGGAGCACTGAACTGGTGCTCCCAAACGCAACAAAAGGACAATTTTCAACTGAACAGTTGAAGCTGCAACTGTAAAAATCAAGATCACAAAAATATTATATATTTAAGCGAATAAAGTGAAGTGACAAGCATGAAGCTCCTTATGACAGAAAGATTAGAATAATCTAAAAGGGGAAGATCAAACGAAAATATTTAGGAATAAACAAGGTATGTGAACCTAAATAAGCCAGAGTATGCATAATAAAGAAAGGGAATATGTTTAGCATTTGAAAGGTAGAGTTATTTGGTTTCAATTGGATCACACACCTCTGTTTTCAAGGTACAACAACTGCATACGCAGAGCATCCCCTGCCATAGCAAGAGAAAGAGAAGCTTCTCCTAGTAGCGGATCTCTTCTTTCAGCTTGTTCCAAAATCTCTATACACAACCGATCCTTGGGGGAAGCTTTTCCTTCCTCGGTCGACTTATGGTAATCAACAGCTCTGGTGAGGCTCTTTGAGATTTGAAGTGCTTTTCTTCCATCTGATGTGAGATCAGATGGTTGGGCTCCCTTTGTTAGAAGGGATACTATAATCTTAGGTTCTTTTCGCATGGCAGCAACATGCAGCACCGTGTAGCCCCTAGGATTTCTGCAGTTAACATCAGCTATTGCAAGATCAAGAAGCTCTGTTGTGGTCTTTGCATCACAATATGCCACAGCATAATGGAGTGCATATGCATCTTCTAGAGAACTATGTCCCTCTTTCAGAAGCATTCTAACTAATTCAACATCATCAGAGTCCAGAGCCCGATGTATTCTTTTAACGTGCTTATCAGGAAAACCATTCTTCGCAGACTCATGCAAGCCAAGTTCCACTCGTGAATCCACAATTTGTTTTACAATATGCTGCGGCAGTGATTTCTCAAGAGTTACCATGTCAACATTGGATTTGACAATATTTTCAATGCACCTTGCAATCAATCTCTCACAAAATTTTCCACACATATTTGCAACAGATAGAACCACCAAAATGTCATCTGCTGCAACCTTGTCAAGAATGTCTAGTAAATTCCTCTGCAAGGAAACATGAGAGTTAACCAAATATTCTGAGAAGAAAACTGTGGCGATGCAAGAACTGAAACGGAGTTTGATTTCCCATAAGCCATATTTGGACACAATAAATATTAATGTGCTAAACTTTCCATGTACTGGTTTTTTGTTCCCATTCCTCACAGTTACAATAACGGTTTCTTTATCTATGTGAAAATTAATTATCACTTTACAATCAATACAAGGTAATTAACCTTAGAAAACACTGGTATATTGTTATGCATATATGCTACTCAAAAGGAATTTTTTTTTTTCTTTTCTCAAAGACAAGTATTTATAGTCATGGTTATATCTCCAACAAATCATGGCAAATAGGACTCCAGCACAGATAGTTTGGACAATTGGACTATCAATCAATTTCTAGGGGGAGGATCCAAAGTTGATGATAAGAAACTCCAATAGAAGGAGCTTCTTGTTTCATGCACACATGCGCGACATCTTTGAAAAAATAATAATCCTGTCTAGAAGCATATGAAAAGTATCAAGATAAGAAGTCATAGGGATTTCTCATGAACTAAACATTAGAGACCAGTACTGCTCAACGTTGTAATGCTATAATTCATTTTATTGCATGCCTTAACTTGATTGACTTCAAAACTTTAGGACAAATCAAGCTCCAAGTCCAAGGTATATGTATCTTCAAAAGGTGCCTCTTGTTGATGCTAATCTAAAAAGAAGATGAATAACATAGTAGCAGCGTGGAAGTTAAATAAGCTCTAGCTTATTTTCTTCCGAACCTTCCCTCAACTCAAACTGACTAAAAAGGCGACACTTTCATCTTGGACATAGATTTTAATTGGATCTACTTTAATACTTCAGGGCTAATTAGAAATGAAATATTCAGAATGACATGTTCTCCTTTCCTCATCCATACCATCACAAAAGGAAAAAATTACTTAAGCAGGCTCATCATTTCTAAAGTTACTCCACCAAATAAAATTGACGGTCACAACTTTTCTTTTTTTCTTAAAAGAATCACAGTAAGGAATCTCTTTATCTTATTATATAAATGACAATTATAGCACATCAGCATCTCTCCGATCTTAAAGATGTATCACATACCAAAATACCAAAAACCACTTCAAAACAAGCAGAAGAGAAAGTTCATAAAGTCATAATGCACCTTTTAACTCAAAGGGATGTAAAATCCTCCAACATTAAGATAATATTATGGAGATAGATATTATCCAAAATAATTTTAAAGAGAATTTAAAACAAATTTAAGGGTGAATAAAGATATACAAGTTAAGAAGGATGAATTGTCAGCCTACGATTCTTCAAGTTGGCCATTGATCAAATAGTTTAGGCACAATTTCCAACATTCAGGATAGTTGTGAATAATTTGTGACACTAATTAACAGTACAAATCAGGTGCCCTTCAATTGATTAGAAGATTGTAACACTTCGATAACTTTTTCCCAATGGCTGGACATGAAAATTTATGCACTTCTCTAGCATATAAGCATACCTAATTACTGTTCCATTGCATTGTAAATGTACTTTATCTGCGTTTGACAACATATACCAATGCAATTTTTTTAAAGTACACATTAATTTTTATTAAACAATGCCTAAACTCAATGAATAGATCATTCTGCTTATTTCTCTAGCATCATTTATTGCAAATAAACTGTCTTTAATTATCTTAATTCAATCCCATGAGATCATGCTTATAAATTCCTACAATGATTAAGCAGTAATTACATAAAACATAGACCATGAAATGAAGAACAGTGTTTAATCAAAATTCAGTTAAGTTAGTGAAACAGAGCTTTACCTGATATACAGAAACCAAATCAGATATCTCAAAAGCGAAAGATGCATAGAGCACTTCCACCATAAAGTCCACCGCCGGCCGACAAGCGACGTGCGAACACTCCTCAAGGACACAAGCACAAACATCTTTCGGGCAAGGCCTCATCTTTCCACTGTACAAATATGCCAGAACAGTGATTAACGAATCGAAGCTAACTTCGAAGTTTTTCGTCAACTCTTTCAATTCTAACTTCACATCTCTCTCTTTACCGCAGAACACGTTCTTGAAAAAAGGACTTCTCGACGACAAAATGCACCGGTGGACTGAGACTTCGCGACCGCCGGAGACGACTATTTTTGCATCCGCGAAGAAATCGAAGTTCGGCGACGATTCGAAGATCGACTCGAGGTTCTCAGAGAGGCGTTTCAAGGCTGATGTATCTGGAGCAGAGGAGAGAGATTCAGTGTTGGCGACGCAACATATGCTGCTGCTCCCACTGATTATGTCGTTTGAATCTGAGAAAACTGTCCGAGTATCCATAACAGATACTCCTATTTAGAGTGAGAAAGTCCGGTATGTATAGATAGAGAGAGAGAGAGTGGAGGGAGGCTATGTAAGAAAAAGGGACATTGATTTGAAGGAACTTTCACTGTAGTTAAGAAAATGCAATGGAATTTCAGTGAATAAAATAAAGCCATGGATGTGTTGCTAAAGGACGGAGATATTCAATTGCGCGTAAGAAGAAGTCAGAAGAGAGAGAGAGTTTGGAGGAGAGAGAGAGAGACGGGGATGCGGACTGACCAGCTGAAGAAATGGGGGCGAGTCTGACTACTGAAGCGGAGGAACTGTTACGATACTTTGGGTTGTAATTATGAAGTAATAATCCCGGATTTGCGACCGTACATCACAGGACCTTGTGATTTGAAAATAGATAACTGAAAATTAGTCGAATTTGTCTTAAGCCTAACTAAATATATATTGCGCTTTTAAATTGCAGTATTAATTTAAATGGTGTTTGTATTGTGAGATTGATATACGTATTATATATATATATATATATATATATATATATATATATATATATATTATCAAATTGTAATATTATAATATAATTAAATTAAGGATTCAATACTATTTTTAATCCTAATTTTTTTAAAAAGTATTTTATTTTATTTTTTCTTTATCATAGTTGCACCATTTATTTAATGCTATTGCATTATAAATTTTATAGTAATTGCATAGTGTTGCATTGTCAAAAAATAAATAAAAGCAAACTGCACAAATTTGTATTGGAAATAATTTGAGTTTCTAAAATATACTATTATAAATGCATGTGTGACAGTGTGTATATACTTTGTATACATCACTATGAAAATTGTTGAGAAAATGAGGAAAAACTATTTTTTAAAATATAAGACCTTCAAGTTCAATAATGAATATTAAATTTATTATTCGATAGGACTTAATGGTCTAATATTTTTAAAATATAAGACTTCTTAATAATTTTTCCAAAATTATTTTATCAATAGTTTGACACACTAATTGAAGGTTGATGCGCGGTATGAGCTTTCTTTTTCTTTTAAACCTCCAATATCATCCCCTTTGTATTTTTAATACTGTACACTTTATTTTTATTTTTTTAAACACATATTGTATAGTTTATTCGTAGTACACTTAAACCATGTTAAAACAATATTACAAGTATGATTTTGGAAAACGCCTTTCTAGCCCAAACAGTAAGATTACTCATTATTTTCAGGAGTTTGATTTCGAGGCTTCTCACCCCTAACATTCTAGCCCTGAAAAAAAAAAAAAAAACCCTATGCCCAGAACACAAAAGAAATAATTTTTCTTCTCTCTTCCGACAAGTATTTTAAATTAATTTTAGGGTTAAAATCATAAAGCCACACTGCTTTTAAAATTTGATTTTAAAACTCTAATCTGTTTCAGAAAATTCTTACGCTTTAAAAAAGTGATCACATTCCCCAATATTTATATTGGACCCGTTAACTATGAAATGACACATTTAACCTTACTATTTAATGTTAAATTAAAAATAAAAATTATTTTTAAAAATTACAAAAATACCTTTTAAAATTACAAAAATTATGTTTTAAATAGAAAGAGGTGAGAGTTTTTGAGAGAGGTGGCATAATTTTTGTAATTTTAAGGGTGTTTTTGTAATTTTTAAAAATTATTTTTAGTTTTTAATTTAACATAAAATAGTAAGGTTAAATTTGTCATTTCATAACCGGATTAACGAGTCATATTGGTGCAATGTGATCACTCTTTAAAAGTATAGGGATTTTCTGAAACAGGTTGGAGTTTTATGATCAGAATTTGAAAGTTGGGGGGTTTTTATGATTTTAACCCTTAATTTTAAATTTTAGTTAAAAATTAAATAGGGTTAAGTGAAAAAAAAAAAAAAAACAAAAAACAAAAATCCCTCGCTATATAAAAAAGGTGCAAAAAACATACTTATTAAAAAATTAAAAAAAAATGCATATAACTCCCTATATTATCTTTCTTTTGAGCAAATTGCCCATATTGAATAAATCTGTTGAAAAATAATAATTCGTGATGTCATTTTTTTTTTTTTTAATCCAAAAGTACCATATTTGTTTAACAATAATGCCCCTATCAATTTTGTATATATTTTAAATAGTGAATGAGTTTGTTCGGATGTACTTGAATACCTATTAATGGAAAAAAATTTCTCTCTAATTTTTTTTGTCTAAAATATCTCTATGTTGCCTTTAGCGTTGCCAAAAAAACATCTTTTTTATTTGGTTTGTCAAGTGAGATTGTGGTACATCATTTTTAAATTTTTAAATTTTTTAAAATATTATTTATTTCAATATATATATATATATATAGAAATATAATCTTTCTTGCAAATATTCTTAAATTTATAATTCTATAATTTCTATATACTTTCTTTCCATTCCTAGAACTCTCATTCTATAAGAAATATACAATATCTCTCTCTAAAAAATTTTTTCCTCTCTAAAATTTCCCATTGTCGTTGATAGTACCTCTTTCTAAAATAGAGCACCAGGAATCAGCAAGTCCCAAAATTTTTTATAATATTAGCAGAGACCCGGGAAGTCGTTACTTGACTAACTCCAAAAAATCAACATGCCAATTCCAATATCTTGAAAAAGATTAAGAGAAAAATTAAGAACGAGTTACAAATTTTCGGTATAAATAGATAAAATTCATAAAAAAAGAGATGTATGAAAAATAGATAGAGAAGGATACCCGGGAAGTCGTTACTTAACCTGCTCCAAAAAATCAACATTCCAATTCCAATCTCTTGAAAAAGATTAAGAGAAAAATTAAGAATGAGTTACAAATTTTCGGTATTGTTGATGCATAAATCCTCGCGACTCGGAACGACGGTATTTACTTGCAAAACAAAGGAACGTCACCTCGAATGGCACCGGTGGGGTGCCAGCCAAGGACCCATCCGACGATCAAGTTAGTACTTGTAATCGTATCACATAATAACTATGTATCTTTTGTTTAGGAGTTTTTTCTCATACCTTCATTACCTGGGAGGATTTCCTTCTTATAGTCGCTCTCCCTCGGTTTATTTGCGGGATCAGAGGAAATCCGCCTGTGCAAGATCAGAAGAGATCGGTTCGTCGCCATATTTGTAGGGATATGATGTAACCCTTTTGACTTCCTTGTGCTAGGATTTTCCTTACCCTATTGAACCACGTCGTCTTTCATTATCCCGGATAAGAAATATCATCATTCTTATCCAGTGAAATCGTTATATTTGATAAAGAAATATTATCGCTCAAAGGTAAAAGAGGTCTGGTTAACATTTAGTTGCCTTTTATCGTTAGGTTAAGGTAGGTTTATTTTTCCCTATCAGTTCCCCTCTATTCCCAAGCTTGCTTGTCTAACTTTGGGAATGTAAATTTTTTTTTTTTTTTTTTGCCCTGAAACAGTACTCCCGTGAGTACTATTCCCGTAGGTACTTTTCATATGAACAATAGAATTTTTTTTTTTTTTTTTTTTTTTCTTGCCCTGGAACAGTACCCCCGCATGTACTATTCCCGCGAGTACTATTCATGTGAACAGTAGATTTTTTTTTTTTTTTTTTTTTTTGCCCTAAGAACAGTTCCCTGCAGGTACTATTCCTGCGGGTACTGTTCATGTGAACAGTAGAAGTTTTTTTTTTTTTTTTTCCTGGGAACTCTTCCCTTGGGTACTATTTTTATTACCTTTGGGTAATCTCCTCGCGGGTACTATTTTTAGTACATTTGGGTACTCTGCCCCTAGGTACTATTTTTTATACCCTTGGGTACTTTGCCCCTAGGTATTTTTTTTGGTACCCTTGGGCACTCTTCCCTTGGTAAGAGAATAAATTGGACGAGTTTTACTCAGGTCGTCACTTCTTTAATAAGGGAATTAAATTTTACGAACTTTACTCAGCTCGTCCCCTTTAGTAAGGAATTTTTATTTACTATCCTTTATAGTACGGGGATATTAATTACAGGATTCATTCAACCCGGGTCCTTGTAGTACAGGACATTTATTTACTATCCCTTATAGTACGGGAATATTGATTGCGGGATTCATTCAACCCGAGTTCTTTTAGTATAGGACATTTCTTTACTATCCTTTATAGTACGGCGATAATGATTATGGGATTCATTCAGCCCGTCCCTTTAGCAAGGGAATAAATTTTACGAGTTTCACTCAGCTCGTCCCTTTAGTAAGGGAATTAGGTTTTACGAGCTTAACTCAGCTCATCCCTTTAGTAAGGGAATTAATTACCATATAGGTATAACACGTGAGGGGGAGGATCGTTCTTTGACCTGACCTTTGTAGGTTAAGTCTTGATCTTTGATGACCATACTTTTGTCAGTTAGGCCATGGTCTTGGTCTCTGATGACCAGACTTGGGGTGACTGGGCATTGATCTTGGATGACCGAGCTTCTGTAGACTTTGGGTAATCAATTCTTAATCTTGGTTGACTAGGCCTTGGTTTTAGATAACCAAGCCTTGATTTATGATAACCAGGGGTTGTATCCTTCCCGGTGTGTAGAGACTTACCTGGTTATGGTTTCGGAGGATCGAGCACCGGTCTTGGACGACTAGTGCCCCCGAGGGGTCGTTAAAGGAAAGAGACTAAAAACCCGACTAGCTCGTTGCACCAAGGTACGTCAATCTTCTAAACCTTGTCATCATATGTAGATTGACGATTGATATCGTGTGATCTACTATTATGTCCCCGATGCTAGGATCTTGGGTGATGCCCCATTGTGATACCCTCGGATTTTCGAATGCGGGTTGGTCAGGCCCACGCCCGAATACCCGATGATATCAAAACAAATTGATAATAAACGAACACAGAGTACAAAAGAATAAAGAAGAATAAATAAAATGCTGACAAGAAACTAAAATGATAATCTAATAATAAACCTCATAATATATTTTCATTAGTTAATAAACTCTTCTGATACAACCGATCCTCCAAAATACAACTCGAGAATCCATATTGTGTGGACCCCTAGAAAATCCAAACTAAACAAATGACAGCAATAACTGCCTAAATCAGGAAACTGAATCATAAAGGAACTCCTGTGTAACATCGGAAGAATGAAGTAGACTGATCCTCGCTCAGCACGAATAACCTCTACTCCTGACGAACACCTGAAAAATAATGGTGGGTCAGGCCCACAAACAAGTTCTACTCTACTACAGTCCAAGCAGAGATCCAATACACGTATACATCCTAGTCAATCCAACAGTAACTAGTAGTCCGTATATATATATATATACACACACTAAAGGAACCTCACTAGACTACAGGGTAGTCTCAACCTGAATAGT